GGGGGGGGGGGGCGACCACACAGCGGGAGGGTGGTACAAAATTTGGAAGAACACAGAGTGTGTTGCGTTGCAGTGTATTGCTTTGGTGTACGAAAGCCGGTGTTAAAGGGACGGCAGAGTGTGGATAACAGTACAGCGCACGCGAGGAGAATGGTGGTGCCATGCATATGCATACATTCCTTTACATTCAGCGGTACAAAGCGCTGCTGTAACTGCTGTACTGGTACACTGCTGTACATCTGGCAGCATACCGTTTTATATACCACTCAAGTATTGTACAGAAGTACTAGGCATCAGTACAGCAGTGCAAGCAATGTGACGATATGGGCCGGCAGCAGTACTGGCATGATGCACAATATGTTGCGTAGGGCTGTATCAAGCACTGTTGTTGCTTGTACAATAATCTTGGGTGGGGTGTATTCATACATACAATTGTACCCAAAAAGTATGTAGCACTGCTGTACTGCTGTAAAAACGTAACAACGACATGCGTCTCGATATACTGGTACGTTGTACGCAACAGCCATGTTTCTTGGTTCTCACCTGCTCCTCTGCGTGGTTCTCAGAGATGGCTCCTTTCACCAGGTCGTACAGCATGAGAATCATCCGCGACTGCTGCAGGGTGGTGAGCTCGCCAGTCTTGGACCTAAGCGATTGCACAGAGTCCGCGACAAACTTCAGCGCGAGAGGGGGAAGCTTGGAAATCGCCGCTTTAGCAGCCTTGCTGACACGATCCTGCTCTCGCTGTTCACGCTGCTGTTGAAGCACGTCTCACCTCGCCATGACCCGCGCGAGCTTCTCCCGATCCGTGGCCACTGACGCCTTCATGGCCTTCACTTCACCTCTTCTTCCTTGGCCGCGAGAGCTGCTTTGGCAGCGGCGGTTGCCGCCTCTCTCTTCTCCATATCATCCAGGAGCTTATTCATAGCCTTTGCATTTCTCGCGGCCGCAGCGTTGGCCCCCTTGATCTCTTTAGGCGGACGGCCACTGGTGCCGCCTATCGGTACCCGCCTACCACGCTTGGTCATGGTGGGTGCCGGATTGGCCAGGTGCCTGGTGTGAACGGCGAGTTGCTCTACAACGGCTTGCTCAAATTCATTTTTTTGGCGGATCACGCGCCATGTTCAGCAGTTTGCGACAGGTTCTATTTTAGAACCTAGCTTTTTTCCCGAACCGCAACAGGTATGCCCGCTCGAAAATTGCTGCCATGAAGTGCCTGCTTTTAGCGCCGTTCACTTCGTGCTGTGACTATTCGATGGGCATGAAACCAGCTTCATTCGACAGCTGATGTAACAGGCTTTCTGTTGGACCCGCCCAGTGTGTGTTTTCTACAAACTTTTGCGGGAGAGAGCATTTTGACAGAATTTTTCTTTTTTGAGGGAGAGAACGGGAAGTGCTCAATTTGGTCTTGATTACAGTACTGGGCCCTCTATAGTGCAGGGATGTGTCCAGAAATTTTATCTGCACTATACCGGGCACCTGCACCATTCAGAATAGTGCGTCGATAGTGCAGGTTCGGCGCTATTGAGGCTTTGAGTATGTTATACCTCAATAGTGCAGGTCCGGCACTATAGAAGAGATGCTTGATTTCATGGTGTCGTGCTCATGAGTCGCGGGGCTGAGAGAGTACGAAATTGATCGAATTACAGTAGTGCTGGGCCCTGTTCTAGCGTGGGTGTGGGCAGGCTGTCCCGCGACCCGTGTGGTTTCCCCCTGTCGCACACACAGAAATGTAGAAAAACTACTTGCAAGTTGAATCGTTGCTTTCTTCCTGTCTCAGCACTCGTACTACTGCACACCGTGAACTGTCACATGAACCAATCCTTCAACATGAATACTTAGTGGACGAAGCTATATCTCAGTCCTCGCCGCCCTCGTTCGATGTTGCAAGATAAAAAAAAAAAAAACACGCCAGGAACCGCACTAAACAAACAACCACTACTGCTACAGCTGTAGACTATGTAACCCCGCCCTCACTACGTCGCGAAAAATTCTCTCATCTCTGTCTGCCTGGCGCATCCATCAACTTGAGAATCTCAAGCTTCGTGTTGTTGTCTGCCGCGCACGAGAACCAGATCCCTTCTTACTCCCCGCCTTTGTTTTCTTCGGGCGTGCGTTCAGATGGAGGATCCCGCCCCAGCACCATCAGCTGGTGCCGATTTGCGCTTGCCAGGCTTGGCGACGCACTTGCTGCAGATGCGGTGCTTTTCGTCGTCCTCAAACATGCTGCCGCAATTGCTGTGGAGCCGCCCGCCACACCCTCCCTTGCAGACGGGGCCATGAGGGGCTTGCGGCGTTCTGCTTGTTGATGGCGGCACAGTTCACCGTCCGCACAAGGCTTGTTGCGTCCCTGCGTGAGCTTTCGGGTCTGCAGCAGCACGTGTACCTTGGTTTCTGTGTTGCGTCTGTCCGCTGTCTTATCCGTGTGTGTTATTTTTAATAGCATCGACCTCGCTAACCGGCTGACCAATGAAAATACGTCAGTCAGTGCGACTGAAAAAATAAAACACTTCTAGACTAGTCTAAATGTCACTAACTGGGACACCATGAGGGGGCGGCTTGGGGGAGGCTAAGCTGTTTCCGGATTGAAGACAGAAACGGTAGCTACAGCAGATTTGACGTACGTGTCGATGAAGGCTGCTACCTTGCACTCTAGCTCGTTTTGGAGTGTCACCGCCACCCTCCTTCCTTCCAACTCCATCGTTCTCATTATCGTTTGTGTGTGTCTAACCTGCACTATTGCGGGGCACCGCGGTGCCCAACCTGCACTATAGCACTATAGCGGGACTTCCCTCAATAGTGCAGTACCTGCACTATTGAGGGCGTTGTCTGTGTCCAGAGATTTCACCTGCACTATACCGGGCACCTGCACTATTCAACCTGCACTATAGAGGGCCCAGTACTGTATTGTGTTCCACCGATTGCGCGTTGTATTTGGTTGTTGGTATGTTTTTAAGGTTTGGTTTGGGGGTGGTTATTGGGGCAGATCAATCAGGCGGCTGCCCTGATCAACCACATGTACGACGACAAATTCATACGGCGTGGTATTGATACCCCATCAAAGGACTAATAGCGTGAAGTTGCCTCTATAGATGCGAGCAGTGTAGACGAGGCGGAAGGATCCGTGGGAGAAAAGGCGTTGATCAAGCGGATCGACGGTTGCGATGAGCGGCACGCCGGCACGGAAACATGCGCGGATTCTCAACGATTGAAACAGCGACAGAGAATAAGGATAAATACGATAGATCGGGTGGGTTCTCATTTGGGAAAGATTGCCTACTACACGCTGTTGACGCTTGCCGAGGGTCTTGCAATGCCTGTTCCTGTGGTGGACATGATAGGATGCAAGCTTAGTGTTTTAAGGGGTGGGAAAGCACTATCGGTTGTGCTGTCTTCGCCGTACTGGCTGGGAAAAACACAGTAAGTAGGATAGGATACACAGCTCACATGGCTGCGGCAAGGTGCTTGACCTCGCCTAAATTCTTACGAGAGGGCCGGCACTGCTGACGGCATCGACTCTTATCTGCTAGCTGCAAGCTACTGCTGTAACTGCTGTGTGCTGTGGTGAAATGCTTGAGAGAAAGATGGATTGAATGTAGACGTTTTTTTGCAAGGCAGCACCTGTTGACCTGTCAACAAAGAAACATCCATTACCCGCTACGCATATTACAGCAGTACAGCAGCAGTAGCTGTCAGATCATCGGGGTGCTAAGCAGCGTACGGAGAGCCACGCACATGATACTCCCCACGAAAGGTTAAGCGCTGCAACTCGGTAAGCGCTGCAACTCAATGCTGTTGGTGTAGAATAGTCTAGACTACATTTGTAGCAACTTATTCACCTGGAGGAAGCCGACACGGGGTGGCCGCTGCTATCTCTGCCTCTCCTCCTTAAAAGCTCCACCGCCGCCAGTGCTCAGCAACGTGCATTACATAGCCAGCCGTCGCCAACACGCCCTTGTTCCCAAGTCCGTTGCTTCGTGGTCGGTCATGATGATGATGATGATGCCTAAAAGGTTGATGATGAGGTCGTTTGCTTCAAGCAGGAGGTTAACGCCGCCGCAGTAGCAGCCCATCCCAGGTGGCTTAATGTGGGGCATTGCTTGGTATCTCACCACGTCGCGGCGTCTGTCCACGCGACATGATATGCCGGGAACAAAGCAACGTGATGTGTGTTGTGCTGCCGGCGAGCACGTTGGTTCTCAGCACAACGCACGCACGCGGTCGTTACAACTCCTCCTGTACTAATGCCAAGTGTCAAGTGCCGCTTCTTTTTTTTTCTTCAATACATACTTGTTGTTGTTGTTGTTGTTGTTGTTGTTGTTGTTGTTTTTCTTCACATTAAACTCATGTCAGCTGCTAATCCCAAAATCTAGCAAAGACTCGGTCCGTGGTTACAAAAATGCTAGAGCCATCAGAAGATCTGAAGAACAAACACACTATTAGCAAGGAAAGGGTACGCAAGCCCGAGGAGGTACACCTGCAATCCCTGCAGCAGGTTTGCGTGCTCACAACTGAACTACACGCCCACACACACAAATCGACTACAGCAGCAGCATCACCCCCCCCCCTTGTCCCGCATTTAACCATAATGAATGTTTGTCAATTACAGCGTACTGCTGTCTGAAGTGCTGTCTGTACAATAATAACACCATGGTGCATGGTACACAAGCTCGGGGCATGGAGCTGCTGTCTGAAGTGCTGTCAGAATGAGCCCGTGGACATACAATGAAGAAGAGCGCCCAACCAAAGCCATCATTGCAATTGACAATCACCCGAATCTATCCAGACCATCTGTGTTAGGCACAGCAGTGCAAACATCGACGCTGACTAGGAATCGTTCCACATGGGGTCTTCCACGATGCAGGTACAAAAGTAAGGCACCCGGGTTTCCCGCGCCATCCCTGTCGCGTCTCTCTACAAAACCAGTGACGTCATCACATACACCCAACACCTATATTCAGGAAAAAAACGGAAAAATAATTGACAACAGAAGAGACGTTTGTCCGTGTGCCACGGTTCGATGCCGTCCGCCTTCTCCGCTTCCGTTGCTCCGGTGCCGCTGCTCCGGTGCCGCTGCTCCGGTGCCGCTGTAGCCAGTCCTAGCATGACCAAACTCGACCCGCTCCGCTTCGTACACGCTCTCGTTGCTGTCCTTCCCAGTCGGTTCCTCGCTTTCTCCCTCGTCGCACTTAGGGTTCTCGGTCTGAAAATTCTCGCGCCGAAGGGTCAACCAGCGCAATCAGCTCGTCACCACCTGTCCCCTCCTCCTTTGATGGCAAA